CCCAGCCTCGGGTTTGCAGGAAACCATCCTGTGGCCAACGCTGGTATCAGCTGAACTTTTACTCCTTTCTTCCTCCCCCTTCCTCTCCCTTCCTTTTTACTCTTTTTCAATTCCCTCATGGACTCTCCGAACCCTCAGCGATCCAACATACCCATACCTCTTAATAACCGTTTTTCAGCACTGGCTTCTCCTCCTGGGGAGGTGAGGGGCGGCAATGTTTTACATCGCTCTCGTCCCCTCCTCCCCACGGGGAGAACTACACAACCTCCACACCCATATAGTTTACCTCCACACCCACATAGTCTACCCACACATATCTATTTACAAGCCAAATCATATTTCAAATTACTGCAGGCCATTCACCACTCAGAAATTCTCAACACTACATTCAACAACCATACATTCCCACAGGGCATGATGAGGAAGGTGACTTTTGCTTTTAAGTCTTTTTATTCTTTTTTTTTTGTCCAAGGTAACGGACCCTCTTGAACTGGTTGGTATGGACCTAGTGGGAAAACGCACAGTAACAGATGCTGGCAATCAGTACATGTGTGGGCAGAGATCTAAAGACCAAAACAGCAGATGAGGTGACCAGTTGTATTCTTGATTTCTTTTACAAATTTACAAACAGTCCAGGGCTCAGAGTTTCGCAACAAGGTATAGTGATGATGCATTATGAATTCCCAATATGTAGGCTTACTGCTGCTCCTCCAATCAACTATGTGTGGCCTTCGGACTGTTAAGAGATTGTAGAAAATATGAAAGCATAAAAGTATAACCATCACAACATATAATTTGTTTGCTTTTTATAACCATCACAACATATAACTTGTTTACACTTTTTATAACCATCATAATATAAACTGTTTTATTTCATGATAGAAGTGATTTAATATATGACACTTTATGTGACAGTCACTTGAGCCTTATATAGTGCTTCTGGTTCTAACAGGATCAAACCAGTTACAACCAGTTACATTCTGTTGCCAACTCTGGTACAAGATGCCTCCTGTGTGTGTGACGCATGTGATTAGGGGAGGTACTACACTCAGACTAGTATAAAGGAAGCAGAAAATCTGTGAGATTCGGCTTTTTCCCCCCATCTCTAGAGACTGGGATAGACTTCTTTAATAGACCCTTAGGGGTCTTACCCCCTCAGAGGTGTTGAATAGAAGACCCTTCTGCTGTCTTACCCACTCAGAGGTGGGATAGAAGACCCTTTGTGCATTATCAGAAGATCAGCATAAAAAGAGCCAGCAGAGCAGAGAGTGAGGAAGAGAGGAGGGGATTTTTCCAGTGTAGAGCCTGCATTATACTTCTTTAGCAAATCAGCAAAAGCTGAATAGGAAGAATCTATTACAGTAGGAGTGTTAGAATTAGTTATTATGGCACTGAGACTGTTTCATTGAACTTAAATTGTTGTATATGATTGTTGTGTGAAAAACTTTAATAAAACCACGGCCTTACCATTTGTAAGTGGCTGAAACCAAACCAAGTCCTTTCTTTTGCGGACTCCTTCCTGGCCTTTTTTGATATTTTCCTTGACCTCACTAAAAACATCACCTTGATTTCTTAGTCCTTCTCTTGCCACCAGGCTGCAGACTTATCGTCTGTTACCTGCAAATAATCACAAGTGTTGAGGAAATAGATGATCCAAATTCAAGTTTTTAAAAAGGATGAGAACATTAGAGAATCTTACTTCATACTCCTTTGGCACCTCTGAAGGAGACCACGCCTCCCTCCCAAACATCAGAAAGTAAGGACTGTACTTTGTAGTCAACTGTTTCTTGGTCCTGTAGCGTGAATGGATCCTGCCCCGGGGAAAGCGGGACAAGCTTGCGCACCTAACACGGTGGTAACTCTGTCGGCTGTCCCACCTGCGAGGATTAGGTTCCTCTTGGAGGTGTCGGAACAATACCTTCGGCCTTTTATCTCACCCCGTAGCTGAGTCGTTAGGATTTCGGAATTATTGTCTTTCTTAAAGTCTTGTACCGCTGCGCCCTAGGCGCTCTCAGTAGGATGGAACCCTAACACCCAGTATGAATAGTTATGTACATCGTCTACAGTATACTTTAATATTGCCTATTGTGAACATCTCACCATTTATGACTAACACTGCCAAGTCTTCACCCAGGGAACTTACCTTAAATGTTGTCTGTTTCAGCATTAAACACGTCTTTCACCCGCACTCCACCGTCATTGGATCTCCTGATCGGCCCTATGATTCACCTTGGTCTCAATAAATCCCTTAGAACTGCCTGCTTGTCTGTGTACTGTATTTGGGTTCCTAGTCTGTTCGTAACACAAATGTAGCATTATCTTACCTGATGTGTTTTTTTTTTTTTTATAAAATCAGCCGGGAAGAGAGGGAGTGAGACCAGTTGTTGACGTGAATACATCCTGGTTCAATACACAGGCATCGTAGCCTCAGAGACGTCACTTTTGGCCATGTAGTTTTTCTAATAACGCATTTTCAGTTTTATACTTCAACAGTTATGACAAAATGCTAATTTCTTGACTTGCAAAATTATCTTTTAAATGGACAAAAATCATACGTGTAACTCATGGCAAAATTCAAACAGGATGAAAAAAAGTCTCTTGCCATTGACTACCGTTCATATTTTTTCTTAGATAGTCTGTCTGGTAGTCGCTTGTCCCCAATATGAGACACGCTACAGAAAAACACTGGATCTTCCATTTCCCATAATGCAAATTGGTGGCATCTTCCCTGCCTCATTTGAAAAAGATTCTTCAGAGACACAGAAACATTACATAACTGTTTAGTGCCCCAATCCTTGGAAGTATAAATACACACAAGTGTACCTTCTACTGTGTGTGTGTGTGTGTGTGTGAGAGTGAGAGAGGTGTAACAGTGAGAGCTCTCATGAATTCCTCTTTACTTTGGGTTCACAAGGCTAACTTAATATTCAAGAAGACAGAAATGATGAAACAAGGGACAGCACAGTTTGACCTTTTTGTTTTTATTCAGGTAGCAGCACCAATCAGCACTGACCTACTTACACACTGCAGCTCCAAACATTCACAACAGTCACACTGCACACACGTGTACAATCACACACAGACACATCCCTGCAAGACTGCACCAAGCCCTTCTGCAGCTTTCCTGTACAGAGTGAGAGACTGCTGTGATGACAGAGAGAATGAGGAGAGGGAGAAGAAGGTTGGGAGAACAAGAGGGAGAGAGAAATTGATAGGGAGATTGGAAGAGGTAGAGAGAGAGACCTCTAGTTCCACAATGGTAAACTTTGTGTGTTTTTCTTAACTGGTCCATTTCCACATGCATCCAATAAGTCTAAATGTGATTTATTTAACAAAATGGTTCGACTTTCTATGATGCCCATGTCTATGATGCATTCTAAACATCCACTTACATTTTTTTCCTCGAGCTTTCAGTCATATAACATGGTCTTCATCTAGATGGAGGTTGTTGTTGAGTTGTCATGGAGATATGCAAATGCAAGCCTTTTAGGAACTCTCATCCGTTTCGGCTTGAGTTAAGAATGAAAGTTTTTCTTAGAAATAGTACTTATATCGCATGACTTGTGTGATTTTTTGTTTCTAGAGCATGACAGTTGCAGGAGATGATAGACTTAACATGATGGAAATCAGATTTTTGAGATGCAAACTGATCTGATTTTGAACAGATGCAAATACACCTGTCTTCCCTTGTTTATGGAATCTGTGGAAGTGGACTCTACAGTCACCTGGAATAATGGCAGTTGAAGCTACACTGAAACATTGGCACATTAAAGCAAAGGAAGAATGCAGCTCCAGCTATTTCTACACATATGACCATGGTGGAGTGAGTGTTTGTAGTAGTTATCTGATCCCTGATCAGTTTAACCACTATACGATCTGTGACCTGATCATCAATGACTGTTTAATAATAGTAGTTTTTGTTGTAACTGACAAAGTTCTTCTTCCTCTGGTGTCCGTTACCAAACAGCTTCAGGTGTATCAGCATCACCCTCTGGATTGAAGCAGAGATTTGAATGTCACCTGGGAAAACCAGGACACACTGCAATCCCATCGGTATTCTTTTAAAATTATTTAATTTCAAGCCTCTATAATAGTGAATATATTTAATATCAGTGAGATTGACGTACTTAACACTCTTTAACGTAATACATAACTAGTGCTGGGTAAGTTAACGCATAATGCCGACAATTATTTTATAGTGCGTTAATGCATTTTTTTTATTTTGAAAGTCCGTTGCTCACTGGCAGTAGTGGAGGAATGGAGACTACTGGACATCGCTGCGGTAAAGTCAGCAGACACTCAGATCTCCGTGGTCAACTCAGCAGACACTTACATGTTAGTGCACCTATATGCTGACATTCACGGTAGACGCATTCAAACGGCACAGATCGGGAGCGAGCGAAGGACTTTGAAAGGTAGCGGAAAGATTAACGTGAGACAACATCCGGTTTCTTCAGACGAACATCCGGTTTTCAGAATAAAATGCCAACAAAGTATGAATTATATTCACATTAAGTATAAAACATGCTACCTGCATCTCGTGACTTAAATACACAAATTGTGCGTAAAGTGTCTTTATTCTTTGATCGCTGGGTAACCATCATCACCTCTGAGTTACAGCATCATAGTGATGAAGAGTAGAGCTGCATCACATGCTCTGACTGTCATGAAGACACAACACACACACGTAGATGAAACGTGATGAAACATGTTATTCATGTTGCACAGCAGTGGAACGTTTCACATACAGTCACACACTGAGCACAGATAGTGAAGAGATAGAACTGCTGCTGTGTAAAGGGAATACTGCTGCTAACATGAACCTGATGTGTTTACAAACCAAATGTTATTGACCTTTTGTTCATATAGCAGTACTTTCAAAATAAAAGTGCACAATACACTACTTTTGAATTCATTATTGAACTTTGCCATAACAATGCGATTAATCGCCATTAAAAATTGTAATCGTTGCCCAGCACTAATAACAATGCCATCATATTTCTGTTATGATTTTTTCCAACTTTTCTCATCATATAGTAACAGACATCCTGATGTCGATGCTCAACAGTGATGATATAGTACGAGTATAATATCATTGCGACTGTCAGTAATCAGTCCGAGTGTCCTCTCCAGATAACTGGGTGGAAATGTGTCCGCCACAGGTGCTACAGCCGTAGTAACAGCTGGTCAAACCCACATCCGGATCACCATGCCCAGCCTGACAGTGTGCGTCACAAACAGGAGAACACGCACTGCTGCAGCATTACCATCATCAAAGTAGAGGCCAGTTTGAGAAAGAAAGAGTGAAAGAAAGAGCGTCTCTCTGCAATGCAAGTGGGTGATTTTCACAGTTTCTTTATGTCCTCCTCAGACACACTACGCCTCCTCGCTTCACCCATCAGGACTGTAAACACACTGATAAATAAGACTGATTTCAGTGATTGCTGCATCTTTGCCTCGTGCTGCTCGGTGTGGTGGGGGGGCAGCTTCACAAACTGACAGGACTTGAAGCAAGTGTTTGTGCAGACTGCACTGGCGTTAATTTAAAATACATCAAACAGCCCACTGCACAGCTGCAGTCACATTCCGTAGTGGTAACAAATACTGGGAACACTCTAGCAGCATGGTCAGGCTGTGGAGATACCATGAATATCAACCGCATGGATGACCTCCAGCCATCTTTGCACTTCACTTCTCTTGTCATATGAGGAGGATGATTTATTCTGATCTGCATCAGCTATGAAGCACATGAAGCAACAGCAATGGTCGGCTGGCTGGCTGCTCGCCCCAATGTCCGAGTGTGTGACACCCGTCACAATGTGATTTCAAAAATCTGTGTGAACATGTTTACCGCTTTGTCTTATCTCGCCCGCCTGGTGACGATTTGCATTTGAGTCGGGGCGTGCTGTCAGTCAGACCGCTGCTGCTTTTTGTTGGCACTTGGAAGGTGTGCAAACAGAATGTAAGCCCACAATGCTTCACATCTTCAACTCTCCTGAAGCTTTTTGCAAAGCACTGTCCTGGAGGAACAAACACACAGTCACACTTTCCCTCTACCTGCACGTACACACTCTCACACACATACATAATGTTACTCACTGGCCTTACAAATATGGCAATGTCTGCTTTCCTCGGCCGCTGTGTGTCAGATGTCAGGGCCAGAGGTCGGCACCGGGCCTAGCTGGGGTTCATGTCCTCTTTCACAGCTTTTACATCCACAAGAATGGACATGAAGACCCACACTCAGGGTCAAACATTCTAACAAAGTCTCAAAGTCTGCTGATTGGACCCCCCCCCCCAACCCCCCCTTCCCCAGCCCATGGAGTGTGTCAGTAGTTCAGGGCCGGGGGAGTGAGGGTCTGCAGTGGTGGCTAGCTGTTGTTCTCAGCCGTCATGTATTTTAGGGCAGCGAAGCCGTAGCGCCGTGACATGTTCTGCTGGAACTCCTCCTTCAGGGTCTTGAGGCAGACCCGGTACTGCTTGTTGGAGCGGAACTTAGTGATATCGAAGCTTGGTGCATGAGGCATGTGGATCATGTAGGCGTTGGGCAGAACCACAAACTCATACTCCTGTAGAGAGAGGACAGGAAGAGCGTCTTCATTACAACACCTCATATAAAGCTGCATTGGTTGTTTTTTGTCCACATCCAGCCGACACAGAGCAACATTATCATTAATTTTGTGTCCACCAATATTACTTTGAGTTACAAAGTTTGAGTATAAAGTTAACACTAACCGCCCATATAATTGGTGATTAGTAATTGGACTTGCATTTATATAGCTCCTTTCTAGTCTGAGTGTGGATGAATGATACAGACATCTGCTCATCAGCATCAAGTTGGGGTTTAGTGTCTTGCCCAAGGGCACTTTGACATGGACTGGAGGAGCCGGGGATTGAACCGCGGATCTTCTGATTGGAAGACAACTTGCTCTAATTGTACCACAGGGTTGCTTAATAAAATGCAATTTGTAGTCCCATTTTGAAAACATAAGAAAAACACGTAAAAACCCAAAGTATGGTATATGGTATATGTGGAGGGTGGAGGGATGTTATTCTGTATGTGGAGGATGAATGGATGTTATTCTGTATGTGGAGGATGAATGGATGTTATTCTGTATGTGGAGGATGAATGGATGTTATTCTGTATGTGGAGGATGAATGAATGTTATTCTGTATGTGGAGGATGAATGAATGTTATTCTGTATGTGGAGGGTGGAGGATGAATGAATGTTATTCTATGTGGAGGATGAATGAATGTTATTCTATGTGGAGGGTGGAGGATGAATGAATGTTATTCTATGTGGAGGGTGGAGGATGAATGAATGTTATTCTATGTGGAGGGTGGAGGATGAATGGATGTTATTATATGTGGAGGGTGGAGGATGAATGGATGTTATTATATGTGGAGGGTGGCGGAGTCTTACAGCATGAGGCAAGCTGCTCTGGTTCGTTGTAGCAGCTGATATTTCTGTATCTCTTTCCAGACAGCAGCAGGGTGAACAGGTTGTGGCTGGCTGGGTTTTGTCTTTTAATATTCTTTGGGCTCTTCTCAGGCTCCTCAGTAGATGGTACCAATGATGTTCTGGGTAAAATAGAGCCCCCCTGTCCTGGACCCTGAACATCTCATACCAGTTTGTAATGTTTGCACTCAGGATGCTTTCTGTTGATCTGCTGTAAAAGTTCACATTGTAACCAATTCCTTTGATATTAAACCCACCAATTTGTTTAGTCTGTACTCATGCTACAACATGTTAGTAAATCGTCATTAACATGCGTTTCATTCAGTTGAAATGGGAAAAAATACTTTAAGATTATACTTACCATAGACCGTTTTAATAAGAAGAGAAAGAAATGTATACTATCTTGCGTGAACTAGCTAACATACGATACGCGTTTGTCCTTCCAGCCTCACTTTGTTGTTTAACATTGCAACAATAATTCAACAATTGCTTCTGTGGCACTTTTCTTGTTTTTTTACCATAAGTAAGTAAAGATGTCTGGCAGGGTCATTGTCAGCAGCAGCTTGCACGCTTTTATTGTGTTACACTAATCAGCAGAGTGTCCCAAAGCTAGGAAGTGAGACATCATCAAATAGAGAGGACAAAAGAGGGGAAAGAGAAGGGAAGGGGAATTAGAAGTAAGTGAAGGAAAGAGAGGAGATGAGGGCAGGGGTAAATCTAAATGATGTTCTGTTCATACCTACAAACATATATAGGCTCTACAAAATTACCATAACCTTCAATAATTTCATACATTAAAATACAGTATTTTTTATTTATTATTCCTGATGTTATATATCCATTCAGACATCAGTGAAACTAACTAGTAGACATAACTGGCCACTGTTTAATGTGGTGCGATCACACAGGAGCTATTGTTCAGATGATGTCTGGGGATGAACGTCTTTGAACTTCAAGCAGTCCTCTAGTTAATCCATCTAGTTATCCAAATCCCGCTTCACATGGATGGGTTAGTTTCCTCAAGTTGTTGAAATAATCAAAGAACCAGCGTGTTGAGTCAAGATATTGTAGTAACGACAAGATCATCCATAACCCATTTCACTGAAGACGTAAGCCTCATAATAAGATGCATAGTGACTTTTCAACAGGGGTATTAACTGTCTAGTGGTACAGCAGCAATAGATGTGTGAAGCACCAAGCTGATTTAATAGTACTTCAGAAAATAACTGATAAATGTTTACAGCAATGTATTTGGTATTTTAAGATACCGTTTGCATGAACTGCAGATTCATGAATTAAAGCGTGGAGAAGAAGTATACCGAGACATTAAGCAGACAGTTTAGATAGGTAGATAGAAAGTAAGTTACTTGTGCATCCAGCTCCATGATGTGAGCCACCTTGTTCCAGCCAAAACCCACAAAGCGGCGGTCATACTCAGGACTGTCCCTCCTAACCATGACGTAGGGCTCAAAGTCGGCTTCCCACTGCACCCTGTAGGGCGTGGTGGCTGTTCGCCATTTGGCAAAGTTAGTTGGTGCATGGCCTTTAGTCCAAACATGGTACCTAGAGGGAAAGCGAAGAAAAGGTTTTACCAAACTATAGTTGAAGGGAGTCTAAAGATCCACATCCAGTCTTTATGAGGGGAAGTGCCATTCATAGTTTCTAAAATATTAGGTGGCATTTGGATTTGAAACCTCTGTCTGTATCATGGTCTCAAAAGTTTAGTTTACTTATAGGGCCCCGTCTGTCCTTGCTAGTTTCACATTGGCACAGGTGTCTTTTTCATGCCCAGTGCCCACATTGTGTAAGAAGCAAATGTAGTTGGATCTATCTATGGGCTTGTTGTTCTTATAATGAGGCATAGTCTTGAGGCAGCATGATGGCCATCATTGGCCAAGAAAAACCTGGTCCAAAGTATTATACTGTTATGTAAAGGACATATAATTCAGATAGTAAGATGCGCCTACATCGGTGGGCTCACAACACATGCACACTCTGCTTGTTACAAACACAGGGCTGTAGCAGCACTCATCTTCCTCAATGAGACTTTCGGTGCATCTCCTCATAAGCAGTCAAATGGAGTTGCTGAAAGCGCTTTGAGTGGTTGAAAGATTAGAAAAGTGCTATACAAGTACAGTCAATTTACCATTTACCATGGGACAGAGGATTGGGAGATAGTGGAGGCAGAGGGTCCACCGGCCAAGGACCACATACCTGTTCCTTCCCTCCTTTCACAAAACGATAAAGCAAAACTGATTCACAACCACCCGTCAATGGACAGCGACAAATAGTAAACAGAGTGTCCTGTGGCTGGGTAGGATTGTTTCAGACTCCTGTGATCCAAACATTTCCAATAACTCCAGAGGGTCCAGGGTGTTTACTCCAAGTCAGAATCTTCACATTTTCACTGCAGAAAACAGTTTGCCTCTCCAATTTGCCAAATCTGCCATAGCAATGCTCCAGGTGCAAGCGCACCTGGCTTTTAAAAGGGAATGGGAGATGTTGCTCTGATAGGTTTGTTTTTGGCGTAGCATGAATTAAACCAATGTTTAATTAAAAGACTAAATACAACCCCTTTGAACCTTGCTTTGTGGCCAGATTGTCCGTGGTTTAACAAAAGTGGAGTTGGACAAGCCCTAAATGCACTTCAGACCAACCATTGTCAAACCTTAGTTACAGGAGAAGCAATGCCGATTTCGTCCTGGCCGTGAACAGTGGACCAGCTCTTTACCTTTGCAGGTCTATTGGAAGAGACAAGGGAGTTTGCCTGTCCCATCTACATGCGTTTTGTGGACTTGGAGAAGGCTTATGGCCATGTCCCTCTGGGAGTCCTGTCAGGAGTACTGGTGGAATACAGGGTACCTGGGTCCTTTTATAGTCTTTATGCTTCCATCCTTGGGATTCCTCAGATATAATAATGAAGGGTTCTACGCAGACCGCATGGCATGCAGCAGATGTGAGTAAGTAGGTCTATTCCACTCCCTGTATCGATGATTCATTTGAATGTTTGGGACTTCTGTCTATTTGGTTTGAAATTTATTTAAATCGGATAGTTTGTAATTTTATTTTTTTTAACTAAAACTAATGTCTGAATCTGACAGTCTGGCTGTTGATGTATCAGATCAGTGGAAGTAGTATTATGATCCTTTACTGCAGTAAAAGTACTAATACCACACTACAAGTAAAAAACTTAACCGATGTAAGAGTATGTAATTATGTGAGTAGTCATAGTTTTGAAGCATCATATACTGTGTATATATGTTATTAAACTAATAAGAATTAAGACAACAGACACTATCTCTATTAGTACCGACTTCAGACCGGCGTTCACTGCACAGTGCTCTGTTAATTTGTCTGTAAATATTAGCTGCTGCTAGCGCTCTTTTAGCGTTAGGTGCCGTTCACATGTGTCTAAAAACGTATGTAAAACTCCTTCTCTCCTGCTGAGTCTTCATGCTGCTTTGAACAGAGTCATGTGGAGGCGTGGCTGCAGTAGGAAAATATGTGTTACCTGGTGTTTGTTGGTGCGCACTGCAGCTAGAGTAGAACCAGTTGAATAGAAACAAAATTCCTGCCCTCCCTCTCCAACAACTCTACTGCCACAGCAATTGCGGCAAATAAAAGTAGCAACATCTGCACCACAGATAGGGAAATATAATGAAAAGCTTGAAGACATTGCTGGCTTCAGAAACAGATGTAGCTCACCTGAAGGTGAAGAGTGTGCCCATGTCCAGCTGAGAGAGAAGCTCAGCTTTGGACTTGGGGTAAGACAGACGGTATCGCAGCGTCTCAAAGGCTGGAACCACCAGGGCTTTCTTGGCATTGGCCATGTCCAGCTGCACCACTGACTTCCTACAGCCATACACACATAAGCCTGGATTACATACTGTAAATTACTAAAGCAAGCATGTGCAAAATCTCATAAAAGATGTAATAGAAAAATTCACAATTGTCTTTTTAAAATCTAAAGATAGGAAAAACGAAGCGTAAAGGTGTCAGAACACAACCAACTTAGCTGGTTTACGCCTGATTCTTTCTCCTCTTACCTGAGGTACTCGTACAGGCCGTACATAGGCAGGAAGTCGATGTCAGACAGGAACATGTAGGGTGTGTTGACGTGCCGCATGGCCACATTACGCAGCAGGTTGACTGGGTAGAACTGTCCCTCTTTGTAGACGATGTGGTAACCGACATTCCCACGGCTCATCAGCACCTCGGAGCCCTGAGCGTAGCGCAGGAACTGCTGGGCCTCAGCGTCGGACAGGTACAGGGCCAGGCTGATGGGGCCTTCCCAGTGCTTACAAATGGCCTCCAACATCTGGAGCCTGCAGGGGGTGAGACATGGGGATGGGCGACGTCACAAAAACATTTCACTTTCAAGGCCCCAATGTCAAAAATGACTTTTATTCATTGGTGCGAGATAATGAAAATAGTAACTTCTGTGAAAGAATAACTTACATTTCATGCTAGCTTTAGTTATGACAATTTTAGATTTATGTTTTGAGGGAAGCCTAGTTTCTTCTGGATTTCGTTTGTTTATGACGCTTGACAAATATCAAAGTGCACGTAGAAAGGAGGACAGGGTGGATGGGTTGGTCAAGCAAACAGGACAAACACCAAAGTCAATGTTAACTTATTTTAACGTTGCGTTAAAAGTTTAATGTTATGTATGCAACATATTACATAACACTTATTTTAAGCCAAACCATGATCTTTTAATAAAACTAATCAAGTAGTTATGTTTTGTTTCAATTTACAACATTAACCAATGCTTAAAAGTGCGACCGTAATCTGGGAGAAAATATTAATATAGTAATTTATAATACAGTTTAGTTGTATGGTAATGCCATGTTTAGGAGACAGGGTTGTTGATCTGCATTAAAGAGGTACATAAAATGAAATAAGCTTTTGAATGCACAGTCTCTGAAACTCGCATTACATGAAATCTCCCGTAAATGACAAAAATGTCAAAACAAAACTTCTAAAATATTATAATGGTATATTTATTCATGCAAGTATTGAACCCTGCGGCTGTTTCCAACTGTTAGTTTCTTTGTGACTTTAAAAAGTCAGAGATGTCACAATTAGCCATTGCTGCTCACAGCTTTCATTGTTTTTGGTGAAGATATGGAATAAATAATGAGTCACTCAACCTTGGACTTGATATGCAAATTGAGTCCTGATATTTTATTCATCGTTGTTACATTAAGGAAAGCTTGAGACAGCCAGCCTTAACATTAGATTGGGCTTTACTCACTACTTTAACAGGCGAGCTTTGAAAACACTTGTGTTCAGGCTGGCCTTTGCTCAGCATCACTCACTCATAAAACCTCTTCCCACTCTGACGGCCCGCGGGCGGGCTACGGTTCTTGTAATTCGATTTATGCAAGCCATTTCAAGATACAATAACAGCAGGTACAGTTAACGTCTCTGTCAAACAAGCACTCCAAAAATAGCCGATAAAATATTGCCGTGACTCACCGATTATGATTCATAACGTCCCCCTTGTGCATGCTAGTCCAGCAAAAACGGTCTTGCTAGGTGGCCAAGGGTCCACTCGATCGAATCCAGTAAAAGATTTAGTCCAAAACACATTAGTACGTCCATAAAGACCCATGGGGGTCTGTTGCATCATTTCAAATTAGCCAGCAGATATGATAACTCGATCATATTTCGGGCATAATTTCACTTTTCATGTAAACAGAGCGGAGATTTTGACCGCAAAATGGAGCCTACATTCCGCCGGTTAGATTGACACCTCATTTGACCCAATAGGAGCTTCTATAGCCCGGTCACAGTCTGGAACAGCCAACGAGAGTCCGCTTTGAAAGACAATGCCCGCCTCTCTTCTTTGGGTATAGCTCGAGCCAATCGCAACAGATCTTGTTCAAACTCAGGCTCCATATAGCCAATGAAATTACGAAGCCAAGGATATGCAGATTTATCAGATTGAATGCTGGGAAAGTTTTCAAAACTGCAATTGAAACCGTGACTGAGGTAACTGGGACAGATTATCAAGACCAAAGTCTGGTTCATGAGAATTTTCAAGAATCTGTGAAAGTTGACAATGGTTAAATATGATATAGTTAACCATACATTGACATAAATAAACTATAGTTTGAATTTCGAACACGTGGTTTATCGTAGTATATGGATTTTGACGTGGTGACGCGAGCCTCCAAATGCGTTTTTACGCGGCCTATTAAACCACGTGTAAAATATTAATTTTCTGTCGTATTGTTATCAAATTGTAACTTATACCAGGTACCATGACTCCATGGTGACGTAGTATTGTCTTTTCAGGCCTGTAAGTCCCAGCCATAGATAGCTGCTGCCATCTGTTGGCCAAAACAAATCTAGGCGGAAATAAAATCCTTCCCTTTCACTGTACTGAAACGCCATAGCTCAATGCTAGTAGCACTTACAGTGATTCTGACTGATTGTGAAGAAACTTCAGAGTGTTGCCGTTCAATAAAGACTAAAACCATACATGTACTCCCAATGGTTCAATAAGAGCTGTCAGTTTACTTTGGGTACGCGATTGATAGGCGTTTTAGGCAAATTTTACAGGAGTGAGAAGAGAGGGGAAGCAAATTCACAGATGTTACTGTTTTTCACTTCAACATACCCATCCTATTCCACCATGATCTACTCTTTTATTGTACATCAGCTTGAGTCATGTGGGAGTTAAATGAAACCCAGGGTGTCAACAGATTGAAATACTGGTAACATAAAGGATAGGAAAGCAAAGTCAGCAAAGGCAACATTTATAGAATTTTAGCTTGTTAAATAATAAGAGCATTTGAAGGAACAATCAGTCTGCTGTTATCAGCAGGGGTTTTATCTCGTGTTGATGGAGGTTCATCTCTCTACCCTTACATCAACTACTGCTGAGATTCCAAGCTTACTAAACAAGCAGCTGGCTCCACACTTTGTGGCTAAATTCGGCCCCTCCACCATCACCGGGTTAGGGTTAGGGTTAGGGCTAACCCTAACCCTAGCCGGACCTGGGGTGACAGGGCCTTCTCAGCTGCTGCACCTCCCCTCTGGAAAGCCCTCCCCATCCGTGAGGCTCCCTCCCCATCATCATTCAAACAAGCCCTCAAAACCCACCTCTTCAAACTCGCCTTCACCTGCTAACCACCCTCCTTTACATGACCCATTCAGCACAGCTTCTCCAGTTATTTTCTTTTTTTTGTTTGTTTGTTCAGTTTGTCTCTGCCTTGTAAAGCGTCTTTGGGCATTACTATTATTAATATTTAATTATACTACACTATATTTACAGTAGAGATGTTTGATTGACACTCCAGCTTTAAATCTATCCCAGGGCTCGACAGTAAGGGTTGCCAGGTTGCCACTGGCAACTTTTTTGAGAAATTGTCAACTAATCTTTGGCCTTTGGTTGCATCAGTGGCAAATACTTAACACATAAAAAGCAAGGCCAACAAACAGCAAAACGTGCAGCAAAAAAAAAAGAAAAAGAAAAAAAAAAGCTATATTTAAATTTGACTGTTACAGAGAGAAGTGGAACTAGACAATGCTTCGTGTGTGTTGGTGAGTTTTCTCACATGTGCGCAGCAGCTGTTTTAGGGACAAAGGTGAAGCAAATAAAGTTGTTTCACTGTTCGACTAATCCGTCACCATCACAAACTAATGTGCAAACTGATTCAACTGAGAACCCGGAGTCCAGATCACTGAAAAAGCGTGACCGGATTAAAAACTTGAGGAACCTTTGATGGGGAGCTCAGCTTCAAGGATCATATCAGTAGCATCATAAAGCTTGTCTTTTCCCAACTCAGAATCATTTCCTGAATGAGAGACTAGTTTTCACAAATGGACTTAAGAGAAACTCATGTGTGCATTTGTTATGAACAGGCTGGATTACTGCAATGCTCTGTTTATGGGTCCCAAACAAAACAATCCATAGATTCAACCAGGAGTCACCTGCACGAGTTCTAACGAAGACAAAAAGATCAGACTATATAACTTCAGTTCCCTTAAAAACCTTCACCCCGTTACTCTCAGAACACGAATCAAATTCCACTGGCTAGTTGGCTCCTCTGTACATCTCAGACACGCTATGAGTTTATCAGCCCAGCCGATGTCTCCTCCATGTGCCCACAGCACTTTCTAAATCCTGTGATATTCAGCATCTATGCACCTAAAGAACGGAACCATTGGCTACGGATCTTCGACTTGCTCCGAAACAGTTATTTTAAAATCAAACTAAAGCCTTCCTTTTCACTGGAGCATGTTCTTAAATGAACCAGACGTATTTGTCCAGCACACTTTTTTGTGTGTGTGTGTATGCATTTCTATGGCTATTTAATGTTTGCTTGCTGTTGTGTTTTTATGCAAAGCAATCTGAACTGCTTTTGTATGATACAGTGCTACACAAATAAATGTGAATTGAATTTGAACTGAACTGACTAAGAACCAGATGAACCCCAACTCCCCTCCCCAGTGACGACTCTATTCTGGAGAGAGACATCAACAGGCTTTTTAAAAAACAGAACCCCTGCAAAGCAGCTGGCCCAGACTGTCTCCCCCTCCACCCTGCAGCATTGTGCTGGTCAGCTGTCTCCGGTGTTCACAGACATCTTCAACAACTTGCCACGTACCAGCCTGCTTCAAGGTCTCCACCATCATCCCCCTCCACAAAAAAACAAGGATCACAGGACTTAATGACTACAGGCCCGTCGCCCTGAGGTAATGAAGTCATTTGTGCTCCTTGTCCTGTCCCACCTTAAAACCCTCACTGACCCACTCCTGGACCCCCTGCAGTTCACTTACAGAGCCAACAGGTCTGTAGATGACAGTCAACATGGCCCTCCACTTCATCATCCAGCATCTGGACTCCCCAGGAACCTACGCCAGGATCCTGTTTGTGGACTTCAGCTCTGCCTTCAACACTATCATCCCGTCTCTGCTGCATAACAAGCTCTCCCAGCTGCACGTGCCCGACTCCACCTGCAAGTGGATCACAGACTTCCTGTCTGACAGGAAGCAGCGCGTCAAGCTGGGAAAACATGTCTCAGCCTCCCGGACCATCAGCACCGGTTCCCCCAAAGGCTGCGTTCTTTCCCCTCTGCTCCCTGTACACCAACAGCTGCACCTCCAGTCACCAGTCAGTCAAGCTCCTGAAGTTCGCGGATGACACCACCCTCATTGAACTCATCTCTGGTGGGGATGAGTCCACCTACAGGTGAGAGATTGAGCATCTGGTCACATGGTGCGGTCTGAACAACTTAGAGCTCAACGCTCTAAAGACAGTGGAGATGGTTGTGGATTTCCGGAAGAATGCAGCCTCACCAGCCCCCATCATCCTGTGTGACTTCCCCCATCACCCTGTGTGACTCCCCCGTCGACGCTGTGGAGTCCTTCCGCTTCCTGGGTTCCATCATAACCCAGGACCTGAAGTGGGAGCTTATCGTCAGCTCCTTCACCAAGGCTCAGCAGAGGATGTACTTCCTGAGGCAGCTGAAGAAATTCAACCTGCCAAAGACAATGATGGTGCATTTCTACACAGCCATCATTGAGTCCATCCTCTGCTCCTCCATCACGGGCTGGTATGCTGCAGCCACAGCCAAGGACAAGGGCAGACTGCAGCGTACCATTCGCTCTGCCGAGAGGGTGATTGGCTGCAATCTGCCATCCCTCCAGGACTTGTTTGCCTCAAGGACCCTGAAGCGAGCGAGAAGGATTGTAGCCGACCCCTCTCAGCCTGGACAAAAACTGTTCATGCCCCTTCCATCTGGCAGGAGGCTGCGGTCCATCAGGACCAAGACCTCACGCCACATCAACAGTTTCTTCCCATCCGCAGTTGGGCTCATTAACAGAGCCCGGGACCCCCACTGACTCTGTCACCGCCAGTGCAATTTCCTACCAATCACTCCCCTGCACATCCCTTCTAGGTTTGTTATTTAAATACACTCGACACTTTTACATTACACTTACATCTCACTTGATTATAGTCCTGTTATCTGTTAGTTTGTGCACTTTATTTTATATTTCACTTTATACTGCATTTTATATTTTACTGTAAATTTTTATATGCTTCTACTTTTTACACTGTGTTGATTGTTAAATGTTATGCACCACCCGTCATGTCAAATTCCTCTGCCATGGTATGTTCAACATACCATGGCAATAAACGGTTCTGATTCTGATAATAAAGCTAACTCATAACTGCATAGGACCTTGATTACTCAAAATGTAAGGTGACTAAAAATGGCAACCATATTTTCAGTTCCGGCAACCAAAAGCTGATGCTTTTAAAAAGTTAGTGTCGAGCCCTGTGTCCACTTCGAGCAGTTTGCAATGAGCCACTGGTTTTATATGCAAGATGTTTGCAGCCAATAATGTTCAGGTTGGGGTTGCTTGATACAAACTAGTTTGATCAAGCATGAAGCGGTGTGTTTATTGCTGGAAATGGTTGTGGAAGTAAGTGCTCTAATATTCTGTCACTTATGGGACTGTAACCCTGGAATCCCTTCTAAACCCAAGCACACCTGTTGCAGAACAAAGGTATCTCTGAAAGTTTTTAATTTACATGCAGTGGAGTATTACCATATATTGTAACAGACTAAGGTTTGTTACCGTTATTGAAGAACAGTACCTGTCCATAGAAAGCTGGGCGACTAGTGTGACGTCAGTGTTGTCAGAGCTGGGTTCATACTCATAGTGGAGGAAGTAGAGGTGCGTTCGGTGGACGGTGAACCGTTCTCGGCGAAACTCGTAGCAAGGATCATCTTCGTCCAGCTCTGACAGAGTCTTCTGAAGCTGCAGGCAGAGACGAGAGAGACACACCAACAGTAAGACATTTTATGGACAATGTTAGGCTGGCACGCAGCGGCCGGACTTCGGAAGCAGGAGGACGGACACAGAGAGTACGTGTAAACCAACCAGGTGTTTATTTCACCGACAAAAACAAATACAAATACATGGCATAACTCTTTCAGGGACCACGGGCAGCATGTAGTCCTGGCAGCGACAGCACTAGATGTAATTATGGCAGCCTTATATAGTCTGCCACTAACGAGGACCTCCACATCACTGTAAGATAGGCGACTCCGCCCCTCACTCTACCCCACAATCCCCTAATCTACAACAAATACATTAAAATGGATGCCTAACATTCTAAAGGTCAATTATCTATATGATCTCTATTGTGGTGAGACATCACCATAGAGATCATATCCGGCCCAAACAGATGATTCAATTTTAGCACCACCCTTCTAGTAATTACCACATGGTACCTTCCCGGAACTATAAAATGGTGCTCTTGTACCCTGGGGACTCTTTTAGGAGGAACACCCTGGAGAGGAGACACAGCAGAGGTAAGTGCTTTGAACATGCAGGTTATTTGACAGCACTATTAATATATTCAATCATTTTAGTTAAAGATAACCAAACCAATAATATGTTTGTGTCTACAGGCTCGACCTTCAATAATTACTCCTGAGACCATATCAGAACCTTACAATAAACATTCAACTCTCAGTGTGTGAGTCTCTTGTCTCGAACAGTCCACAAATGCCTGCAATGGAGAGGGTCTTTGTCACGGACAAGAAGGTTAACCACTGAAGGTAATGCTGCATCACAGTCTCTAGACCACCAGTGACTCTGTCCCAAAAACTGCACCATGATCGAAATAGGGTGAGAACAGACTGATCATGAATCACTTCACATATAATGGGGTAAATGGACTGCATTTGTAATGCTTTCATCCAAAGCACTTTACAATTCACTTACCCATTCACACACAGACTCATACAGATATGCAGAGGGCTGCTGTGCAAGGCCTAACTATCAGGAGAATTTTGCTTATGGGCCCCTCCTGGACAAGTGGTCAGGAGGGGCCAGGGATCAAACCGTGGAACCTGAGCTCAATGGAAAGTTGGATAATTATCATGTTTATCTATGTGAAGCAGGATTCATTAAAGGTAAACTTCTGTATTTTTCTATCTTGCTTTCCCATGTTTTTGTGTCCAAGTGACTAATGTGGACAATCATTTCTGAAACTGGTCTGGTGTTGACAGAGAACACTGCAGACGGCTGCCGTTAAATGCCCATAGTGATTACATTGCAGCTCGTTAAACAGCTATTGTCTGCAGCACTCTCCCTCAATACTGGTCCAGTTTCAAAAATTGGTGTCCCCATGACAACTGGGCAAACTTTATCTTCTAATGAATATCATGCTATATAATCGAAAGCTCCAGAACAGCTACTAAAAGCACCTGGAAGTAAGTTGGCTCTGTGAAGTTCTGTTTGAAGAATGAACTCAGAAGCTCATCTATTGTGGCATTTAAAGGACAGGGGAACATTTCTTATCCTTTAAAGCCTGCAGAGTTTAAAGCTAAAGACTAAAATGGTCACGAGTAGAAAAGGACAAGCTCATGTCATGTGTGAGCTGGAACCAAATTGTTCCATGGGGAAGATCTAAGTGTCATTGCCAATAAACACTAGCTTACATGGATATTTATGTTGCCCTGGTGTAATAAATTAGGTTTTGAAGAAAACGGATTAAGACAATATTAACGGCAAAACCATGGGTTAAACAGAGTAAAAAAAAAGACGAAAACACTGATGGTGTTTTCAGTTTGAGCAATGTGTTTTGATTGGTTAATTGAGGTATCATTTATCCCCACTTGCGGTAATTGGTTGTAGGTAAAGGAGAGGGCGGGGTTAAGAGAAAAGAACGTGAAAAAAGCGGGAAGAAAAGAGAAGTCTGAAGGAAAGAGAAGAGAGTGGTATAGATAAAGAACGGGAGAAATGAGTTTAGATAGTCCATGACAATGTCCTTTACCATCAGTCAAGAACCGACAGTACATTTCTTGTTCTGTTTGGTTAGGTTTAGGCATTAAAACTAATTGGTTAGTGTGAGGGGAAAATCATGGTTTTGGTCAAAATCAACTACTTTCTTAAGTTTAGGGAACCTTTGTCACCATGAAAAAAAAACAACAATCTTGACTGTTGGTAGGTACCGGCAAAGAGACCGTGGACTCCAGTGTCCATTGCTATTTTAACCCATCCATCCACTCCAAACTCCCCTGTGAGGTTTTCAGGGCATAGAACAATGTCACATTGCTTCAGCCTTTGCTTCTGATGATAGAGTCATCACTCATATTGCCACTAAAGGTTGTTGCCAATTAAATATAAATCAACATCTTACTTAGGCATTTGAATTAAACACTTTTCACTGGAGAACTTCTGTGTCCATGTCTACATGTGTACAAGATATTTGTGGTGGTTATGCTGGAGCATGGAATAAGTTTTGAGGGCTTTTCTGTGTCCCAGTCTGCCACCTCTAATCTTACATAAATCCATTTAGCACCAAGCTGTTACAATTGATTACAAATAAAATGCAGTTCTCTCCCTGATTAGCTCTCACCAAACACAAACGGTGATACAGGATTTGCTGAGCACAAACCTGGAGTCTTTTGCACAGTGTACTGCAAACATGACGTTAATAGAGCAACACATCAACCAAAGTATGAATGGATGTCAGCCTTCTGTACTCTGGTCTATGCAACTTGTTCAAGAACTCTAGAATCACTGAAGCTCAACAAAGATTTGGGGAACAGCAGAGAGAAGTGGCTGAAGGGCTGTCAGCAGAGGAGCTGTTGAGAGGCATCGCTCTGCTTTGAACAGCGTTATTAGTGGAGCTGCAGTGGGTGACTGGGCTGCAGTGGCCCTGTGGAGTCTGGTCTGCAATCTGCAGCCAATCCCTCAGTGACTTCATTAGTCTAATCATCACTTTAATGGGATTTAAATTGGTGCTCAAACTCTGAAAAATTGAGTGAGCAAACTATTTCCTGAGTTAAGGACACATTAGAATTGAGTGTTGGCAAAAAAAGGCTCTTGCGTACCATGATGGGAAATTATAACGTGATTAACTGACCACAGTGCTGACACTTAAATAATTCTATGGTCCCATAGTGGCCGATTCTGTAAAAACTCAACTCCAGACCATGGTGAACTTCAGCAGCTTAGAAGCTGAGGAGGTGTAAATGAATGACTCTATACAGTATACTGGGCACTTACAGGGTGTGTCAGGGCCTTGTTAAGCTTCAAATGAAGCAGGTTATACAACATGTGGTCCAATCATGTCTACACCTCTTCTGAATGGACACACTGGAAGGTGGGCTGAAAAGCCTGCTGTCATAGTCTGCCTCCCACTGTCTCTTTAATCTCTCTCAGGGAATTTTGTGTTTTTTGTTTGTCCTTGTAGTGTGGACAAGATAGATTGTATAAATAATAAAAAGCAGCATGCTCTACTGAGGAATCCAGCTGTTTCAGCAGAAAAAGGACAGTGGTCAGACCGTCTTCCCCAGACTGATTGATACAGAATTCAATGGACAAAAAAGGTTTACAAGGAGAAACATCAGTTTTTTAGTCACCCTAGTGCTGTGGCTCTAGAAATGCCAATGTTGTTAGTCGGTTGCCCATACTAGTTCAGAGTGAAATATTTAGGGTTGGGTTTCTGACTCTGTACTTTTAAGGGTACCAACTAAATTACGTTGGTACTGCTGAGCACTGAAATCAATTGGTGTCAAATTGCAGTACCTGAGATTGCACCTAGTTGAGAGAGTAACTTAGACTATAGAGAGAGAGTAAAACTCTACACTTTTCAAAACTCTTGCTGCAACATTTAATGCAAAGCTGGCCAGGGCAACACGTCTAACCTGAGGAAATACCTGGTCAAACAAAAAAATATATCTAAAAGCTGAGTGTACCATGTCCCCCGCAGCAACCACAGCTAACGTTAGCACACCTGCAACCAACGCTGGAGAAGTTAAACACTTTATAAAGTGAGGCATCGACAACTTCATCAACATCATCAGGTGGTTAGATAGCTAGTTGGATAAGTTGCTGTTGGAGATAACTGTAAAGTACTAAAAAAAGATACCATTGGATACCAGTACCAAATTCCTGGAAGCTATATTGATATCAGTTCAAATGTGAACAGTACCCAACCCTAGCAATATTTGGTTTGCCAGGGAATTTTGCACAAACAATTATGGTCCCAATAGAATAGATTCTAGAGAATCTGGTGATCCCCTAACTTGTATCTAGCACCATCTAAATTTCAATGTAACCCATCCTTTAGTGCAGTGGTCACCAATCTTAAGCCCAAGATCCATGACCTCTGCCTTGGTGACAGGCAAGACCTACCTATTGAGGCGTTGAGAGAAAGACTGTCCAGACTGTACTTGCATTTGAGGCTTTTTATTTGGCCTAATTGTAATTGAATGAAATCAAACACTGTGGTCCAGCTTTCAAATTGATGTGACCAAGCACACACTAAATTACTTAATTTCAGTGCAACATAAAAAGGAAATTATTTGTTAACCGCACACAATATGAACAAGAAAAAACACATTTGCAATGAGCAGGCTGGATGAACTACCAATATTAACTGAAGTTACAACACAACACTGACAAAATTCTCAGTCAGTGCAACTAATGTAAGTGCAGTTCAGCTGTGTCCCATCAGAAGTCATGTGACTGTACACTGTCTGTGAGTGCCTTGTAGTTCGGCTCATAAGCACAGACAGCCAGTCTGAGGCAGTCTGTGAGGTGTCTGTCAGTAAGCCGGCTCCTGTACTTTGATTTGGTGATTTTCATCTGTGAAAATGCCATTTCACAGAGGTAAGTTGATCCAAAGTAGGCACTCACTTTTAGTGCACATGCGCTGAGGAGAGGAAACGTCTCTCTGCTGACAAGTCCCCAAAAGTCATTGTCCCTTGACCTGGCTTTCAGCTCTATGTCATTTTGCA